TCTTAAAATTACTAATGGTGGTATTTTAATTATCATATAACTAGTATTTTAACAAATATATACTAAGTGATCATTAATTCATGCATAGTTGATTGAGATTGTATATAATATCATCTTACTAATGTTGACGAAAATTATGCATTGGTATGATATGTATAATTTCAAATAAACTAAATTCATATACATATTTAAATGGAAGGGCATGAACCTTAATCCAGAAAGGGATTTGGTGGAGAGGAGTCTCAAAAGGTTTAGTAAGAATTAAAATCACAGCTTATGCTAGAAATATCTTCCAATAACATGAAAATAGGTGCAACTCCAAATGATGATTTCTTCTAATTGCTTTGACCATGCTACTTGCATTACTTTCAAGAACTACTAGATAGCCCAAACTCTTTCTTAAAACCACCCACAAGTTTTTGAGCGGTAGTATTATTCTTTTATTTTTTATTTTTTTATTTTATTTTAAAAGTATGATTATCAAGTGATTACTAACCCATGAGTAGAAAATTCGAATAACATAGATATTTTTCTCATATATTCACTCCGATTCGTAATAATCACAACACTTTCCTTTTATGACCGTTTCATAATAATAGCAATACTTCTTTAATTGGAGAGGACTCACTATTATTTTACCTTGTATTATTTTTCTCTCTCAGTAACCCCACTTTTACAAATATGTTATTAATTATCTCTCCTACCAACTCCACTTACAATACTTTTTATTATTATTATTATTATTATTATTATTATTATTATTATTATTATTATTATTATTATTATTATTATTATTATTATTATTATTATTATTATTATTTCTCACTCATACTAATTATACTTTTATATTGCTTCCTTCATGTTTAAATAATTGAAATGGTTTCTTTTTTCGGCCGTATTTAAATTAAATGAAACATTTTCTTTTTCGGCTGTGTTTAAATAAATGAAACATTTCCTTTTTGCTTCTCTCTATTTTTTAATAATTATATTCTCTTTATTTTTTAATTATATTCTACTAACTTATGGTCCCCACAAAAACCCTTGCTTTTTTCTCTTTCCTCAAACTTATACCTTACTATCTATTATTTTAATAAATTCAGCTACCCTTCTAAAAACTTCATAAAAGTCAAAATGTTTCATTTATATTAAAGGAAATTTTGTTCGGAAAAACCTTTTAAAGCAACCTTTTTGTTTAGAAAATTCTTTTTTTAAATTTTTTGGCTAGATGAAACCGGTTTATATAATTTTTTCGTTGAACACAATCAAGGACCTCTAATACATTTAATTAACCTCTATTTTTCCTTATATCTTCTAATTACTCTCTAACTCTCACTTAACTATTTAACTAGTGAGTAGCTCGGGCGTTGCCGTGGGTTGTTACTTCTGTAATCGTGCAATTGAGATATTTTTTTAAGGATTTTGAAATCTGAAATCGACAATATTGAATGTGTTTTTTTGGTTTTTTTGGTTTTTTTTTTTTTTTTTTTAAATAATTAAATCATGTGGTTTATACTTATGTACATTTTTTTTCATATTTATAACATGCTTGATAATGGGCTAAAATGGTTAAATAGCCAACTTTGTTATAAGTGGTTGGGTGTTCGAATCCCCTTAACCTTATATTTTAATATGAAGTAATGTGGGTTGCTTAATTGGGTAACGTGGCGTAACGATTATGGTTAATTCAGTGATGATGTGGCATAAAGAGATGTTGGGTAGGTGATGACATCATGAAGTGTTTGTGAAGTGACGTGGCGTAATTTAAAAGGATCTACATGACACATTGACGTTTTTATAAACGCCTTTTAATATAATCAAATTAATTTATAAATAAAAAAAAACCACCACCTAACCTTCCCCCGTCGGATCCGCTGCTTAGAACCCCCTACTCACGACGACCAACCTCCATCGTTGGCCGATCCCCGCCCTTTCCTTCGCCGCGACCACCCACCCCTCTTTAAACCCTTACCTTGACAATCACCCCCCTTCCTTCAACTACCACGAAACATCCCCCCATCCCTTTCCCCCACCCCGAAACGGCAAGGGAAAGGAAGGGGTTGTTTCAACCTTCGAGGTGTGGGAAAGGGTAGGGGTTGTTTCGTGGAGGTGGAAGAGAGAGGGGTGGGTTTTTGGTGTAGGGTTTAGGAGGGTGGTCGCGGCAAGGGTAAAGGGGAAAGGGAGGGGGTCAACTCGGTGGTGGAGGTGGGTTGCCAGGAGTGAGGGGTTCTAGACGACGACTCGAATAGGGGAGGGGTGCTGCTGCTAGGGGAGAGGGAAGGGGGTGGCTGGCTTGGTGGTTGTGGGGTGGTGGTCTTTGTTTGTTTTTTTTTTTATTTTATTTTAATTATTTATAAATTAACTTAATTTTTAAATAGCTAAGTGAGAGTTAGAGAGTAATTAGAAGAAATACGAGAAATTAGAGGTTAATTAAGTGTATTAGAGGTCTTGGGTTGTCTCCAACAAAAAAAATTTATCAACTAATATCATTTGCCCAAAAAAATTTCAAAAGATTTTTCTAAAAAAATAAGTTGCTTTAAAAAGTTTTCTGACAAATTTTCTACTACTCCGTAGTATATTGTGTGTGGGCTAAGGGCTTAAGACGAATAATTTGAGCGCACACCTTAAAATAAGTAAGGGTTTTTCTAAGCTATACCCCTCAGGTTCTTCAAATTCTAAGCTGTACCCATGCTTTTTTGAAAATTACCAGCTGTGCCCTCCACCTTACATATTTTAATGTACAGTAACTAAGAAAATCACAAGAGTTAACAGACGTTGAAGACTCTTAACGGGGTTTATTAAAATTGTTTAAATCAAATAAAAAAAAAGACTTATGTCCCTCTAAATTATCGAATTTGATCAAACTCTCACCCCACTCTGCTCTTAGGTCATTTGCGACGATCATCCAAAAACCCTAGAAATTTTTACCAATTTCTCAATTAAAGGTAGTTCCTTTCACTGGAAGTTCGATTTGCGACTGAAGATTGAAGGAGTTGATCAAATTTTGAGGAAGGGAAGAGCGGTGTAGTTGCGACTTTGTGTTCATCAACCAAAAATCAAAACTTTCGAGTTGTTAGGTTAGTTTAGTTAGGTTAGTTTAATCTTTAATTTTGTGGGTTTGATTGAATGTGTGTTGATTATTTGAAGGAAATTCCTTTTACGCAATACTCATAAATTCTTGCGTGGACCTTGTTTCGGGGTTTTTTGATGTGTCCTGCGGGAGAGTTACAATTCCAAGAATGCCCTTCGACGCCTGTGCCTGCAAAATCACGAAGACTCCTGGGGGTAGGAGCTCCGCCTCCGACGATCAAGTTAGTAAAGATACGGGAGGTAGGATGCACGTAATGTAGAAGTTACTTCTCGCGTAATGGGAGAATTCCGCAATTAATATTGCTCGGGGGAAGTGTTTTTCTTTTTGAGGAGTATTCAATGTGAATCATAAATGTTCAGATCCCCATTAATGAGGGTCCTTCCACTATTTATAGTGGGGAAGGGGTGGTTCCCCTTTTAGGGTTTAGAGGACACGTGTCAGCAGAGGATTGGAGCCCTGCTGACCAACGGCTGGGTGCCACGTGTCACTAGGCCATTGGGCCACGTGTTTAGGCCATTGAGAGTTGAGAGCATTCGGAGTTGAGATTGGTTGAGAGCAACCGGACTACAGACCGTCTGGGTCGTTGCAAGCTAGCCAAAGGTTTTCGAGAGGGTAATCAGAGAAACCCAGCCGGATTTTGAACCGCCTGCGTCTTCGCAAGCATCCCAAAGAATTTCCAGATTTTCTTCTAGGTACCGTCTCTATTCTTTCTAGCTTTTTCATGTATTTCCGTTTGAGTCTTTTACTCGCATTTTTGTTTATTGGTCCCATAAGTAGATGGACCCCTTATACCCATACCCGGAACCTAGCTGTGAACTCAGCCGGTTTATTAGTACGGCTGAGTCTAGAACTGGGTCTGCCGCCTCTGTTCTTTGGGACAACCCTTTTTCAACACCCATATCGACCGACTCTGTGTCTGTGCAGGACACAATGGCCAGAATCTGGTCTACTGCCAGAGATCCCAACTACAGAAGTGGGAGCTCAGATGAGCAGCCGCCTGAAGTCCCAGCTTCAGGCGGTGAAGTAGAGCAAGGAGAGGTAGAGCAGAGAGGCTCACCCGGGGGCGCTCCTAGCACCCCGGGTGATAGCATTTTAAATGAGGAGACTGCTCCCCTCCAGGAGACCAGAGAGCAGGCAGGCTCTGATAAGGAGGTCTCCAACTCCCCAGCCGGCTCTGATGCCGGTCGCGTTCAAAGTAGCAGTAGCAGCTACTTAACTGAATCTGAGGATAGAGAGGAGGCGGAGAGGCCTTCTTGGGATAATAGGAACGATCCTCTCATGATCGCCGTCTCCTCTAAGGACCGCGAGCTCATGCGGGCTGCGCTGCCGGATTTTATCAAACGGCGGCCGCTGGGGGGTGACTATTCAATAAAAATCCCGGCTGCTCTGGGAACAATATGGTGGGAGGATGAACAACCGAACGCGAACGCTTGGTTCGGGTGCTACGAGGCGGCCTTCTTGGCCGGAGTCCGCTTCCCTCTCCACGACACAATAAAAGCCATACTTAGGGGGTATGGCCTAGGTCTCTGGCAATTAACCCCCAACTCATGGGTAAATATTTTAGGGTATATCGCCGCCTGCGAGATGCAGGGCCTCAACCCCGGCTGGGAGGCGTTTGCCCATATGCATTACTTGAGTAGGAGCCCAGGCGGCTGGAGAGCCTGGTATACCTTGACCATCTAGCCCAAATACCTTATGACCTTGGACAAGCCATCCAAATGGTCGGACTGGAAGCACCGGTTCTACTTGGTTAAGGCCCCAACTACGGCAGAGAACAAAGAATTCCGGATCTACAACCGGAAACCAGAACTCTTGGGAACCAAGTGCTGCCTGCCCCCTGTCCCGGAGGATGATAGAGAGACCATCCTTGACTCCGGGTTTTTTGAGTTAGTTCCTGACACCCTCTCATCCGGAGAGATAGTAAGGGTACCTAGAAACTGGGTGCCCAAACATGAATTTTTTAGGGACGAATGCTTCTTGTCCGCTTGTGGTCTAAGCAGCATGTTTAAAAAACGTATGTATTCGGAACTCAGCCGGTTTCTTTCGAACCGGATGCTTTTATTTCCTTGCTTGTTTATTATTCTAACCGTGTGCCTGCCTTTGCAGAAGAAGCCAAGAAAATGCTGCCCACCGAGAAGACACCGGCTAGGTCGGCTGCCGACATCCGGAAAGCCAATCTCGAGAAAAAACTTGCTGCCCAGGCGGCGAGGAAGGTATAACCGTCTGATCCTTCTCGTTGACTTCAATCCTTTTATCCCATAACTTATATTTCTCTCGTTTACAGGACGGGAAGCAGATGCCCCGGTCCCTTCAAAAACAGGTCAGGCCTCCGCCGACCCAACAAGAGTCTGCATCCAAGGTGCAGAAGACAGCCGACCGGCAAACTACCGGCGGCAAATCAATAAATGTCCCAGGCGGGCCTGGATCTGCGGATGTGCTTTCTGCCATCCCATTGAGGACCGCAACCGGTCCCTCGGAAGGCCGTTCGGGCCGCCAAGGTAACTTCGACCTTACACTGCTTGACCTGCCCATGCGGGTCAAGTCTCGATCGCTGCCGGGGGATTCTCCAATCAGCCGGCAATCTATAGGCAGAGCATATGCGAGTTTCTCACCGTCTGTTTCTGGTGCAGATAATTCTCCCCGCTGGCCGGACGGGGCACAGTATGCCCGGGCCATGCTGAAAGCCGTCCCCAGGGACGAGAAGGAGGCGATCCCTGGGATCAACTCCTTTAATGCCGACCGGGTGCTGGTCGACCTGGCCGACGTATGCTCCAACAACCATGCGGTAATTTTCTTGACGTGCATTTTTAAATATGCAGTATTAACCGGCTGTATTTTTGCAGGCTATGCTGCGCGTAGAGGGGCTCAAACGAGCTTATACCCGCAAGTCTGAAGAGGTAAGGAGAAGAAAACGGGCTGTTGATGACGCCCATAATGTTGCTGACTACTCTTTGTACATGCATGGCTTAGAATCTAAATCTATACGCATGGAACAGGCGGAGAAGACCAAGGCCCTCCAACAGCAGATTGATCAACTGAAAAACCAAGTTGACCAACTGCAGGCGTCCCTGGATGATGCCAATAAAAAGTTGGAGGAACAGAAAGAGCCCCTCCAACGGCTGAGCAAGGCGGAGACTGAAAATGGCCGCCTTGCCAAAGAGAATGAGCGCCTGCTCAAAGAGGCGGCTGCTGCCAATGAGAACTTCAAGGCCACCTTGGAGGCGGAGCAGGACAGGCTCATTGAGGAGAATGAGCTTGATTGTGCAAACCGGATGCGACGGGCGTTTTCCCTCATCCACCCGGAGGCGGACTTCACCGTCTGGGAACTCGCCTTCAAATATTCTGATCTTGCCATTCTGGCCGAGGAGGCGAATGAGCCGGGGCCCGGACCCTATGACGCTTGGGTTAGGGAGGAGATTGCGCGACGGCAGGCGGAGGCTGCTGAAGAGGAAGAAGTTGTTCCTGAAGCCGACGCAGCCGCTCACCCTGATCCTACCATGAACCAACCGGAATAGGACCGGTTCACTGTTCGCCTCGAGTAGCAACCACCTCCCGGCCTGCGCGCCTTGCATTATCTTGTAATAGCGCCGGATGAGACGAGCTACTCGGCTGTAATAATTTTTTATTCTGAATATTAACATTTTCACTGGCTGCGCCGGTTTGTACATTTTCATTTTGAATATTAACATTTTCACCGGTTGAGCCGGCTTTTGAATGCACTCTGTTTTTCACACTTGGCTTTTGAATGCTTTTTATGTTTCTGCACTTCAATACTAGAATTCTTGTTATTATTTTTTTTTTACACATATTTCTGCGAGGATAACCAAAAGAACCCCGCCGGTAACACTACCGCTTGGGTCTTCGCAAACAGCAAGGAAATTTGCAAGGGTTGCCAAGAGGACCCCACCGGTAACACTGCCGTCTGGGTCTTCGCAAACTAGGCGAAGAAATTTGCAAGGGTTGCCAAGAGGACCCCACCGGTAACACTGCCGTCTGGGTCTTCGCAAACTAGGCGAAGAAATTCGACCGGTAACACTGCCGTCTGGGTCTTCGCAAACTAGGCGAAGAAATTTGCAAGGGTTGCCAAGAGGACCCCACCGATAACACTGCCGTCTGGGTCTTCGCAAACTAGGCGAAGAAATTCCGACCGGTAACACTGCCGTCTGGGTCTTCGCAAACTAGGCGAAGAAATTTGCAAGGGTTGCCAAGAGGACCCCACCGGTAACACTGCCGTCTGGGTCTTCGCAAACTAGGCGAAGAAATTCCGACCGGTAACACTGCCGTCTGGGTCTTCGCAAACTAGGCGAAGAAATGTGCAAGGGTTGCCAAGAGGACCCCACCGGTAACACTGCCGTCTGGGTCTTCGCAAACTAGGCGAAGAAATTCCGACCCAAAACCAAACCGGATGGCGTTTGGGTAATTGCCCCTGGATAGCGGTCTGGGTCTTTGCAAGCCAGGCTGCTATCCATATGATATAGCACGAATATATACACTAAGTGCCAACATTAGATTCGGGAGCCAGTCGGTTTATACTGAATCACCGGTCGGGACTTAGCAAAAGAATCACGCCAGATTAGGATGTCCATTCACCGGTTGGGCTTTTGCAAGCATACCCCTGAATGAATTATGGCCTAGACCAAATGTTTTTAGGCTTGCTCTTAGAGAGTCAGGCGGCGGTATTGAGTACCGGCTGAATTTTGGAAACAGCCTTTAGTGGTACTTCCAAAAAGTGGGCCGGCTGCAAGTTTGGGGGTGCTAGCCTGCCCTTCTTTGGTGCGAGGGATCGTCAGGCGGATTTGTCCGCCTGTGTGATCGCTTAGAACAATTTACCACCCAAATGGGAGATGTTCTCTTCGATGAATTCACCCGTATGGGTGTCACCGGATGCAAAAATTAGTTACTGGTGCCGCTTGTGGTAGGCACAAGACATTGCGGCTGTATACAAAATTGAATATAATTCTCATCTTTTGAAAATTTACAAAAGATGTACAATACTTAGAAGTAGTATTTTTTGAGGTTATCTACATTCCAAGTTCTAGGCAACTTTCTTCCGTCTGGAGTTTCCAGGCGGTAAGTGCCGTCTCGTACTTCTTCAAAGATCCGGTAGGGTCCCTCCCAATTTGGGGTTAATTTGCCTTGTTCATTGGCCCTACCGGTTGCCTCCATTTTGCGAAGCACAAAATCTCCTTCTTTCAAAGGTCTTTTACGAACCCGCTTGTTGTAGGCTCTAGTCATACGCAGACGGTAGATCTCATGACGCAAGGCAACATTCCCCCTTCGCTCTGGAAGAGCGTCTAATGCCAACCGCATGGCTTCCCAGTTAGCCTCTTCATCATATAACATAATGCGTAGAGTAGGCTCATAATGTTCAATGGGAAGAACTGCTTCAGTGCCATATGTCATGAGAAATGGGGTCTCACCGGTTGCCCCCTTTTCGGTTGTCCGGATAGCCCAAAGGACATGAGGTAATTCCTCTGCCCAAAGTCCACCGGCTCTTTCTACTTTCTTCTTTATCCCGTCTGAGATCAACTTGTTAAAAAGCCTCAACTTGACCGTTTGCCTGAGGACGGCCAACGGATGCAAAACAATGGGAAATTCCTTGGTCTCCCAACCAGGTCTTCAGGACAGGCGTTTCGAACTGCGGTCCGTTGTCGAAAACCATGGACATTGGAACCCCGAACCGGGTGATGACGTTTCTCCAGATGAAAGAAATCACGTCTTTCGTTTTAATCCCTTTTACCGCCTCTGCCTCAACCCATTTGGTGAAGTAGTCTACTGCTACAAGAATGTAGCGGCGGCCGCCTGTCGCAGGCGTATAAGGTCCCAAAATGTCCATGCCCCATTTAGCAAACGGAACCGGACTATGGATTGCCGTGAGATCTGTTGCCGGTTGATGTATCAACTTAGCGAATTTTTGGCACTTGTCGCATCTCTTTACTAGATCCATGGCATCCGCTTCAAGAGTGGGCCAGAAGTACCCTTGCCGCCTGGTTCTTCTGGCAAGGGACCTGCCGCCAATATGCGAGGCACAAAACCCCGCATGCAGATCTTCCAAAACTTCTCTCCCCCTATCCGGGGTTACACATTTCAAAAACGGCTGCAGGTATCCCTTCCGGAGGAGTTCCCCTTGATGCATAACAAAACTTGAAGCACGCTTCTTGAGCGCTGATGCTTCTGAAGGGTCATCCGGCAAGGTACCATCCGTCAAAAAAGACCGGATGGGATCCATCCAGGTAGCACTTCTGTCCAGGACTCCAATGGGATCATTCTGAATACTTCGTTTTTCAATGACTTCCCAAAAGACCGTCCTAGGAGCATCACAGGAGGCTGATGATGCCAACTTTGAGAGGGCATCCACCTGATTGTTTTCAGACCGGGGCACCTGTCGCAGATGAAATTCATCGAAGGACCCAGCCTCCTCTTTGACCGCCTGCAAATATTTGATCATAGCCGGATGGGTGGCTTCGTAGTCACCAAAGTATTGGCTAACGATCAGCTGTGAATCTGAGCAGGCGTCGACCTTTCTTGCAACGGCTGCCTTACACATGCGCATATATAGTGCATATTCAAACTTATCCCCTTCCGGGGAATGACAGATAACACCTGCACCACAGCCGTTCACCGTAGAGCTGCCGTCTACAAATAACTTCCAGACCTGATCAGGGTTTTTTCGGTTGCACCGGCCTAGTCATCTCGACAATGAAGTCGGCAAACGCCTGACCTTTCACTGCCCGCCTGGGTTCAAAAGTTATCTCAAGGCCTTGTATTTCAACAGCCCACTTGATCATTCTACCGGATGACTCTATAGCAGTCATCGTGCGCTTGAGCGGCTGATCTGTGTATACCACAACCGGATGTGCCAAAAAATAAGGCTTCAACCGCTTGACTGCTACGAATAAGGCCAACCCAAATTTTTTCGATCATGGGGTACCGGAGCTCAGCATTTTTTAAGGACATGGCTGATGAAGTACACCGGCAGCTGAATGCCGTCTCTCTCAGCGAGGAGAACGGCACTAAGGGCGTGATCAGAGACGGCTAGGTACATGTACACAACCTCCCGGGGTAGGGGGCTTACTAGCCTTGGCAAAGAATGCAAGTGCTGCTTAAGCCTCTGGAATGCCGCCTCTGCTTCTTCACCCCATTCAAACCTTGACCTCTTCCTGATTGCCTGGAAGAAATAGAGGCACTTGTCACCTGACCGGCTGAGGAACCTCCCCAATGCCGCCAGACAACCGGTCAACTTCTGGACCTCTTTTACAGTGCGGGGAGACTTCATGTTAATTACCGCCTGTATTTTTTCCGGATTAACTTCGATGCCTCTTTGGTCAATCAAGAATCCGAGAAACTTCCCAGACTCAACACCAAATACGCATTTCTTTGGGTTAAGCATGACCCCGGTGCCGCCTGAGTGTGGTGAAGGTTTCTCGCAGGTCTGCTAGGTGATCCGTCTGTAGCTTGGATTTGACTATCATGTCATCGATATACGCCTCTACATTCCTGCCAATCTGGTTGATAAAAACGGTGTTTATCATGTGCTGGAATGTAGCCGGTGCATTCTTCAACCCAAACGGCATCACCGTATAGCAGAATAACCCCTGATCAGTGACGAAAGCCGTCTTCTCCTGATCTTTCTTCCAGAGGGGTATTTGATGGAAGCCGGAATAAGCATCCATAAAGCTCATTAACGCATGGCCGGCTGTTGAGTCGACTAGGCTGTCAATCTTTGGAAGCGGGTAGCTATCTTTTGGGCATGCTTTGTTCAGATCTGTGTAATCCACACACATCCGCCAAGTACCGTTCGGCTTCTTTACTAGAACGACATTTGCCACCCAATCCGGGTAGCAGCATTGCCTAATGAACCCAGCATCCAACAGCTTTTTGACCTCAGCCGCTGCCGCTTGAGATCTTTCTCCACCATGATCCCTCTTTTTCTGCCTAACCGGCTGCTTTTTGGGATCTACGGCTAGCTTGTGGACAGCAAGATCCGGGCTGACGCCTGGCATCTCTTCCACTTCAAAGGCAAAGATGTCTTTGAATTCCTTCAGCAGCTGGAGCAAGCCTTCTCCCAACCGTTCGAAGGCTACCGTCCCGACCTTGACTGTTCTTTCGGGACGGCTGTCATCTAGGATGACATCAAGGCAGTCACCAGCCGGCTGAGGTCGTTGGTCATCTGACCTTTCCCCGGCTAGTGATTGCTATTTCTCCTTTTTGACGGGTGCCAGTTGGTCCGCCTTTCTTTTCTTACCGGCTGCCCTTGGAGCCGGGACTGCTGGGTCGCAGTTATCAATATCTATGGGCTCACCCTTGCCGGCTGCACCCATAGTTGTCTTGACGTCAGAGAGATAGCACTCTCTTTGCCGTCTTCTGGTCCCCGCTTAGGGCACCGACTGTACCATCATCCTTTTGAAACTTGACCAGCATGAGGGACGGGATGATGACAGCCTTAGATGCGTTGAGGGTAGGACGGCTAAATATCATGTTGTAGGCGGACAGCTCCTCCGCAACCAAAAACCTGACTACCATGTGGCGTCCTTGCCCCTTTTCACCCAGCCGGATCGGAAGATCTATGCTTCCGACCGGATGCACTACTCCACCCCCGAAACCAACTAGTGGGTGAGGAGCCTGGTGCATGGTACCGGATGTGTACTTAAGCTTGGTCAAGCACTGATAACTGATTAGGTCAGACGAGCTCCCGGTGTCTATTAGGATCCGGCCAACCTTCTGGTTGACAACCTTGCATTCGATGACGATGGGGTCATCATGAGGCCGCCTGACCTTGCCCCGGTCCTTTTCAGAAATAAGGACCTCAGGAAAGATGTCTTTCGACGCCTGGCCCTCATCCACTGAGTTGACCAGCTTCCTGATGTTGTCTTTGGTGCCCCGGATGGTAGGACCCCCTCCGGCAAAATCGCCTGCTATAGTGAAGACGGTCTCTTCATCCGTCTCGGAGTTTACTGGGCCGGTTTTTTCCGCCTGCCCTTTCTTGGCCTGGGTATTACCCTTAGCCTTAGGTAGGTAGGATTTTAGGGCCCCCTCATCTGCCAGACGGTCCAATAGCCGCCTGAGGCTATAGCAGCCATTGGTGTCGTGGCCGACATCCTCGTGGTATTGGCAATACTTGCTCTTGTCCCGTTTATTCACGGGGCTTTTCATTTCAGCCGGTTTGTCGAGGGACATCCGGTCTTTGATTTCCAGGAGGATGGTGGAGCAATCTTTTGCGAACTCGTATTTGGGGACATACGGTTCTGACTTCCGCCTGATCTTCTGGGCCGGCTGTCCTGATCGGTCAGCTGCCCAGACCCCTTTTCTCTTTTCTTCCTTTCTTGCCGGCTGATGCTGTTGCCGGCTCTCTTTTTTGTCAGACTTTTTTAGAATCTGACGGCTGCTTGACAGCACAAAGCTCCGTCGCCTGTATATAGGCTTCAGCTTCAATTAACGCCTCTTGGAGGGTAGCAACCCTCTTCCGGACGAGGTCAAACTTAAAGGTCGACCCATCCTTCAGACCTCGAAAGAAGTCTGTATAGGCCACTTCGTCTGATAGTCCTGGAATCTGAATTCTCATCAGATTGAACCGTCTGACGTATGACCGGAGGCCCTCCCGGTCGCCCTGCTGTATTGCCCCTAGGTCGAGGCTAGTCTTTTTGGCAGGAATATTCATTGAGAAATTTGACGTAAACAAGTACGCCAAAGTTCGAAAGCTGTTGATGCAACCGGCTGGTAGGTTACCAAACCACCGCTGGGCTATGCCCTTGAGGGTAGCCGGGAAGCATCGACACCAGACGACATCATCTAACCCCTGAAGGTACATGAGGTTAGAGTAGGCCATTAGATGGTCTTCTGGGTTGGTGGTGCCGTCATAGGCCCCCACCAAAACATTCTTGATCTTAGGCGGCTGTGCCGCCTGGGTTATCTCGGGTGAGAACGCCGTTGGCTGTTCCCCCAAATTTAGCAGGCGCAGCTGCCAGTCCGTGGGTTGGTACGGCTGCTGCGCTTGCCCAGCGAAAAGACCCGGTGACATAAAAGGGGATCCACCCAACCCATTCGGTGTGCCGAATAGGCCAGGCTGGATCACTTTGGGTCCAGACCGGGCAGAAGCTTCGCCCGTCTGGCTCCCAGGTTCGTTCCCGTACGCCTGTGTGAGACGTCATGGAAACTGTCCGGGAAGGTCGACGTTGAGGCCGACGCAGACGCCTGACCTCGCTTCTCTTGGAGAAATGTGCGGGCGTCTGAGAATGTTTTCTTGGAGCCATCCGGCTGTACGTGCCGGATGGCCTTTCGCAGCTCCCCTTGAGGAAAACGGAGTCTGCTCGGGTCAAACCTTAGGCCTCCCCCTCCTTTGGCTTTGGGTGAGGGGTAGGAACTCGTTCTTTGACCGCCTTCTTTCCAGAAGGCTTCTTGGCCGGCTGACCCTTCTTTGGAGTAGCTGACCGGATGAGGCTCTTGATCTCACCCTTGAAACTATTCATGAATGACATGAGTTCGTTTCTTGTAACGGGAGCTGAGCCCTCCACCGTCTGGGTAATTCCAGCCGGTTGCCCGGCTGGGTTGCTGGGAGCAGCTTGGCTGATTTCCCGTTCTCTTTTATCTTTAGCACGAGTGTGCTTCGTTCTGAAGGACCCATCCGGGGCCACATATGTTTCAATTTCGTCTCCACTTTCATGGTCCGTCTGGACCTCAGGCTCGACCACAGGCCGTTTGCCCTGATTCGGTGACACAGTATCAGAAGTCATCTTAGAAGTACTCTCCCCACAGACGGCGCCAAATGTTTCGGGGTTTTTTTGATGTGTCCTGCGGGAGAGTTACAATTCCAAGAATGCCCTTCGACGCCTGTGCCTGCAAAATCACGAAGACTCCTGGGGGTAGGAGCTCCGCCTCCGACGATCAAGTTAGTAAAGATACGGGAGGTAGGATGCACGTAATGTAGAAGTTACTTCTCGCGTAATGGGAGAATTCCGCAATTAATATTGCTCGGGGGAAGTGTTTTTCTTTTTGAGGAGTATTCAATGTGAATCATAAATGTTCAGCTCCCCATTAATGAGGGTCCTTCCACTATTTATAGTGGGGAAGGGGTGGTTCCCCTTTTAGGGTTTAGAGGACACGTGTCAGCAGAGGATTGGAGCCCTGCTGACCAACGGAGCTCCCCATTAATGAGGGTCCTTCCACTATTTATAGTGGGGAAGGGGTGGTTCCCCTTTTAGGGTTTAGAGGACACGTGTCAGCAGAGGATTGGAGCCCTGCTGACCAACGGCTGGGTGCCACGTGTCACTTAGGCATTGGGCCACGTGTTTAGGGTATTTTTACCCCAAACAGACCTAGTCTACAATAATATTATTGTGGATCTGAGATTTATATACACGCAAAACTAACATTATTTGGAACATAGTGACCGTAATTTTAACATAGTATCCTTATTTTTTAACATAGTAACCTTTATTAAATCTTGTGTGACCTTTAATATTATTTCTGTTTACATCCTAAAAAATTAACCTCTTACAGCTTTTATAATGTCACAATCGCTTTTATTTCAACATAATAACCTTTATTTTAATGTAGTGGCCTATTTTTTTATTTTATTAATATTAATAAAACAATAATAGTATCTCTAATGTTAGTGGTCCACGATAAATTTGTGTGAACCAGGTGCATTTAAGAATTTGTATATCGTACTAGGTTTTCAAACGTAACTAGAACTAGTATTGTAATATTTATATTATTATTATTGATCAATGGTACACACTCCAACTTGAGGAGTTTTCGGAAATCTAACACCCCTAACAGCTTTTCTAACTCCAGCGATTTAGGAGAGAGAAAATTTGCATCAAAGTTCAAAGATGCATTCTTTTGCAAACAGAGCTAATGCGCTGCTAACTCTAGCAGTCACCATTCTTGCAATTATGTGCGCTGCCGCTTCTATTTCCGACAATTTCAATTCCCCTTCTCCTACTGCCAACATTGAGGTTGAAATCTTTATCTTTGTTGTTTTTAATTTTACTTTTTATAATCTTCACTGTTTGGTTGATTGGTGTTTTTTGGTTTAAATTTAGGTGGTCAACATTCATAGATTTCAGAAACTCTCCAGTGGCAATGACGAGGTAAATTTTTCAATCTAATTTTCTGGGTCTTTAATTTTGTTTTGGGGTTTTCTTATTTAATGCGAAGTATGAATTTTGCATCTGGGTAATTGATGTGCATTTCTTTGAAGTAATTTTTTTTTACAAAAATCCGTTTTAGTCTGCGTTTTTATATGATTGCGTTTGAGGGTTCTTGTATATAATTTTTAAGTTGATTTTGCTAATGCAGTTCTATATGAATTTATAAAGGTGTAGTAATATGCATATATTGTACAAATGATTTACTGCACAATGCTATATAAAAAGCGTGGTCGAGCTGCATTTATATAATGTTATTAGTTTATTACTAAAAGCTAGTTTGGTTACTGCAACTGATCAATTGCAACAACTGATCAATTGCAGTGCAACTGATCAATTGCAGTGCAACTGATCAATTGCAGTGCAATTGCCCTTACATGTTTGAGAACTTGAGGTATTGTTACGGAGTAAGTTTACCCTCTAGTTATGTATTAGGAAGGATATGCTTGCATAATCAAAGATTGATTATGTTCTTCTTATGATATTTGTAGCGACCCTCTTGCATTTTGTTGATCCATGTTAAGGATCATTGATGGAATTTCGGGGTGGTCTTCAACGATCATCAAGGCTAGGTGTGGACTAAGTAAATTGAACGTTGTGTTCTCTTGGCTTGGTTATGTTAAACTGTGGTTCTTTAAGGTGCCAAGTTTTCTATAACCATGGTGTGAACTGACGGCTCCTACATTACACGTTAGACTACTCTATGTGAATGTTCTTAAGGGGTGAATGGGTGCTAGTGTTGCTCAGGTACCTCACTACACTAAACCCTTAGGCTTGCTTTTTGGAACAAAATTTTGAGGTTGCAAGGCTTTGTATAGGCCAATTAAAAGTCTAGTCAACTTAATACAGCAAATGATAATATGTTAAAATGGGATAAATTTGCTCTAACTGTACTGTATACAGAATCATAAGTTATCATTTTTCTTCTCCACGTTATGCTAATTCAACGAGAGGATGTTAGCTTCGATTTTATTTCCAAAGGCCTCCTTTTATACTTGCTTCCCTGGTTTTCATAAGCCCCAATTTCGTTCATCACTTGCACCTTAAATCCCAAGCAGGTTTGGGCAGTGTTCTCTGGGTTAGACCTTGCGAACACCCTTGTAAGAAAGCTCTGATTCAGTGTGTGTGTGTGTGGCTCATCTGCTATTATTGAGGGTTTTAACAAAGGACTTGATGTTCGAATGGCTCTCTTAATGTAGGCGCTAATATTAAGAACAGGTGAGAATGGCAGGCTGCTACCATGAAACATCAAGTTAGAAATGGAATTAGGATTTTGCGGAAATTGTATATTGAACAACAATGTAAAAATATTTTTGGATTTGAAGACTCCAACCAAGTTCATGTATATTTAAGGGTTAGGGTATATAGTGCGGTTTATTTGTGGAAGTGATAATTGTTACCTTATGAGTGTGTTGATGATGATGGAATACTGTTAGCAAAGCTTATGCTAAATCAAGTTTAAAAGACAGTCTGTATATTTGAAGGTGTTCAAATGTTTCATGGAGATGAGATAGTCCTTGGGTTTATGGCTAGGGTTCTGGCACTAATTGGTTTATGAGGGCAGAGTAGTAAGTTTAATTATTCATGTCATTACTGACAACAACCACCTGAAGGTGGTTAGAGCTTCAGCTTATTCAGTGGGTTTTATGGGTGTTGTTTCTTGGTAACCCGAAGGCCGATGAGCATGAAATGAATCTCTTGGGGATATTGAGGTTTAGGATTTTCCACCCAACATAAATGATTCAAGATATGTGTTCTTAGTTTTAACTTTTAAGGCAAAAGAATTGGAAAAGAGAAGTACTCCCTTCGCTCCTTTTTGTTTGCTTATTCAGTGGGTTTTATGGGTGTTGTTTCTTGGTAACCCGAAGGCCGATGAGCATGAAATGAATCTCTTGGGGATATTGAGGTTTAGGATTTTCCACCCAACATAAATGATTCAAGATATGTGTTCTTAGTTTTAACTTTTAAGGCAAAAGAATTGGGAAAGAGAAGTACTCCCTCCGCTCCTTTTTGTTTGACCCATTTAGAATCTACAATTCGAGGAGAAAAGTTTTTTTGACTACGGAGAATCTTTGTTGAATATAAGAAAAAACATTTTAATCTTTCTGTCATCTTGATTCAACTTTTTTTAATGCATGCCACTTTAGAAACTATGTACGCTAGCAATCAACTTGAAACTTAGGAAAGGATGAATGTAATAATTTCCAGCTGAAGACATATAATAGTTTCTAAGAACGTGATATATAAGACTCCACCATTTCATATCATTTTTGTCTTAAATCCATTGTTATCTTAGTGTCATTATAAGGTTTTTAATTAGGAGCTAAATTTATGTTCTTTATCTTTTTTATGCTCCTTTCAAATAGGAATTGTTCTTATATGTTTTATTTTTTCCCAGGTTGCCATGGTGCTGAATATTTCAGCCGATCTTCAGTCATTGTTTACTTGGAATACAAAGCAGGTTCGTCATGGTACTCCAGAAGATCCTAGTTTTGTTATTTATGTTCTTACCCATCTCCAATCTTTATCATAAGAGATTAACAATGAAAAACTGTGACATCTAATTGTATGATTTACTTATTCTATGTGATTCCTGCTTTTCTTTGGCATTAAGTCAATAAAGGTTAACATGAACTAGGTGTTTGGTTTTGATTTATTGCATTTGATCCTGCTTGGATAATTATCCCAGCATAACCTCTTGTTTAGTGCTGCACAACTATAGTTATTGACTAAGCTCTTCTGTAATTATTTGTTGCAGGTGTTTGCGTTTGTTGCTGCTGAATATGAAACCAAAAAACATGTACTGAATCAGGTAAGTGGGTGATTGGACACTGTTATCTCATGTATGTGTGTTTGTATGTGGGTTTGTACATGTGCGTGCGTGTGTGCTCATTGAATGCAAAAATACTGAACTGCTGCCCTTAAAAAAAAAAAAATTTGTTGTTGAATTCTTTTATAATATCTACGACTTATGCTATTTATATAATTTGAAACTGCTTATTTATCATTTTTGTTAACTATTACTTTACCGGGAGTGCATGTATAACCTGCTTGCTTTAGGAGAGCTATTATAGGACAACTGTTTTGGTAACTGATGTGAGCTTCTTCATAACGGGGTTGGAGGTTGAATTATGGTGAATAGGTTTTCCAGTTTCTTTTATTCTGGATAGAGACTTCAAAGGCAACTTATTCCCCTTCCCATGTCCAAAGAATAAAGGCAGAATGATGTCAGTAATTCAGTATTCACTTGTGCTGTATGGAAGGAGAATTGAAATGGGATCAATCGCAAAAGAAAGGATCTTATTCTTCATAATGAAGAATTCTAAGTTAAGCCAATTTACAAGAATCAAATAGAATAGATTTCTTGTAAATGTTTTTTCTGGGGAAAACCCAACCAAAGTTTCAGATTATTACTTCTATTCTATCTACCACTACCTACATTCCACAAAATTGCTCTCTGCAAATATGACCTAATGAAGAGGCCGGTTATCCAGTTTTAAAAAAAGAAAAAAAGAAAAAAGAAATAAGAAATAAGAAAAAAAAAGAGGCCTGTTATTCATAGTGAGTCTTCTTCCACATACTTCCACTAGCAGTTCTTTCTATTCTGGTGTGGATGGTAGAGGCTTATATCTCGTAGTTTTAATAGGTTTCCTTACGAGGATTCTTTGATGTTTTAGAATTTTTCTAAGGTCTAAATTAAGTACTAGATCAACCTATTCTGGTGTGATATGATAGTTTTCCCTACCATTGCCATTTGTTAGTAACTTTTTCCATATATGAGCCTAATCCTAGTAATCTATTCAAGGCTTTTTTTTTTTCCAGCTTATTCCCATTAATGTGGTTTTTGGATGTAGATGGTCTTTAAAGAGTTTAAAAGCTTTTGAGTTTGCATATTGGTAGAAGCATAACCAATAATCAGATGATAGAGTAACTGGGACTTTATCTGTGCTCCCATCAGTTAAATGCTTTCTTAAACTTACTATTTGAACAACCAATGATGGTGTTAACTAGTAAGATACCTTGCTATGTGGCATATAGAAATTGCTGCAACTGAATCTGATGATTAACCTATGAAATCACATTCCCTACCTTACCCATGCTATTTTTTCAAATGTATAATGAGTCCTTGATGCCTTAAATTAATGTATAGAGTGTAAATTATTTGTTGAAAAAAAAAGGAATTTCAGAAATATACAAACTACAACATCCAAATCATGAAATTGTTGAGAGTGTTTTTGTTCTAACCCAACAACTTTTGGCTATCTGCTATCAATCTTTTGCATAATGGCTATTGTGAAGGGTACATATATAATAAGATATATTCTGATCTGGGGGGCCTGTTGGTAATATTTTCGACAATTACAACATTTAAATTAAAAACCAACAAAGTGACTTAAATAAGATGGGGCTTCTGATGTGACATGGGCAATTCTATTTGATGTGCAAAACCCCTTACAACCCTCTAACTCTTTTATGCTAGTCAGATTTGATATAATGATGATGGGCGGAAAACAATTGTGATAGTTTTGAATAGGGATGTTTATTATAACAGATTCGATGATCTTGGTAACCATATCAATTTGTTTGGGCAAGTTCAAGTTTTTTTTGTCAGGAATAGCAACACAAGCTTATCACATTGTTACAGGTGCAGTTGAAAGTGGTGTGTAGAATTGAAAGTTGATTGAGCTTAAGTAGAAATTTATTCTCCTCTCAATTTGTTCCATCAATGATTGTGAAACCCTGAATTCAGCATATAGTCCGTGTATATTTATTCTGAACTTGTTAATTTATACTTCTTCTGTTCTTTATTAATTGCTATATGGGAGAGGGGTACACATTAAAAAAAAAAAAATTGTGAATTGGAGAGCAATGGAGAGATAAGAAGAGGGACAATGTGATGAGGAGAGAGATTGCAAGAACACATTATCAAAAATAGATGTTTAGTAATTGATGTAAACTTTCAAATCAGGGAAAGGTAGCAATTAGTGTAGAACGAAGGAAACCAATCAAAAAAGTGTTGATATGCAAATGAAGTTTATTATGTTGATAATTTAGCTCTCTTGGTTGGTCTGCTTTCTTGAAAAGGGTCTCATCAGCAATGATTTACTAGAACTTGAAAGACCCTTGTTCTTGAAAAGAGACACTAAAAATATTTGGCCAGTACTGATGTTATATACTGCAAACCTGCTAGGTCATGCTCTCAGGTTTATACCTTTTGTTATAGCTAATTTGTTCTACAAATTTCTTTTGTGCAGCTTTCACTCTGGGATACGATCATAGAATCAAAAGATAAGGCAAAATTTTCAGTTAGTATCTCAAACAAGTACCGATTTACTGATCAGGTAAGAATTTATCCATCTGCTTTTGCCTGTTTCCCTCCTTTTCTTGCTGCTGTTAGCAGTAGGCTGTAACATCTTGTTAGTCGGCTTTCCTTGCAACTTAATACAGTTGCTGCCGTTGTTATGTTAAAAGCATTATCGTAGCTTTATGGCCATTGAGTTTCACTTGTAGCAACTAATTAATTGAAATTTTTTGTAACTATAAATGTCTACCCCAGGGGAGCAATTTGCGAGGCAAGGAGTTCAACTTGACATTGCACTGGCATGTTATGCCCAAGACTGGAAAGATGTTTGCTGACAAAATTGTGCTGTCAGGACACCGTTTACCGGAGCAATACAGAAAATGATACACCTATTGATCTCGTGGAGTTAAGACTAAGGTTGAGGTTAAGGATGTTAACATCACATGTTTAGTCGAAAATTTAGTCGAAAAGTAGTAAAGCTTTTGCTTCTTGCTGTCCAAAACAAAAAAAATGAACTTCGAATTTTCCATTGTTAAACATATAATGGATTTTTTCACAATACAAAGCTGATCTCCACTACTGTCACAATGATCAATGATATAGAAAATATAACTTTGGGTATGACCATGACTAAGAAGCATGGCTACAATTTTTCTTAGCAATGTTGTCTTGGCTGAAATACGGCTTTGGGCACTTTTGTAATGACCAATTTTGTGTTTTCCTGTTAGAAGTATCTGCAGTCTGCTCCCATCTCCCATCGAGTATCAATAATTGTCACGTATTAATGCAAGTTTTTTTAGCACATTTTGTCCTCACTCGTACGCATCCTGAGCAACCTTTTAGGGGATACTCATCCTAAAACTATTTCCAACCAAACACGTTTAACTGTGGAGTATCTTAACATATGAGTGTTTTGTACAAAGAAGAAAAAAATGCAAAATTAAAGCCTTTTATTGGACAGTGACAAAATTACAAGGCAAATATTATACAATTTCTGCTAAAATAGGTGTGACATAATTGTAATAATCCCAGAATTTTAATGAAAAATCTGTCCTAGCTAATCAATAGACCCTTCATACCCGTATAGATTGCGATTGACTTGGAAAGGTATCCTGATCGGCCTCTGCGAAAACAGCAATGCCACGAGCAAAGGCGAAAGAGCCTGTACCACCAACCACTTTAAGCTCTTCTCTCTTCTTATGTTCCAATTGTTTTGCTTGAATACTCAAGCTCCCTGAATATTCAGGTGTGCTGAATGTCAGATATATTACATTAAAGGGCCGTCAATGATTGAATTTTCTTTCAAGTATACTTGCTCCTCAAGTACCAGATTTGGCCACCTAATCCACAGTTAATATCACAAAGCATTTCTTTCGCATAATATTTTATCAGTAATATGTTTCAGGGACACCTAATCCATTAATAGTCCTTGAGCAACTATTTTTTGTTTTAAAGAAGAACGATAAAGGTAGATTTGTAGACAACACACGCGGTACAAGTAACCAAATTAACAAGCAGGAAAGATGGCACATATTCATGCGAGAAGATGGCTAATAATTTCCGCGAATTACGAAGTTGTTACACTCTAATTTTATCAATCACTCAATATTATAATGCCTCATTATTAGTAATTTCTTTTTTTTTTTTTTTTTTTTTTTTTTTTTTTTTTTGCAGAATTTTACTCTATATCATTTTGATTTTGTTGTTATGGATGCAGAAGACTAGTTGCTGCATGCATTGTGCCACCGCAAATCAAAAGACATCTAAATTTTGGTTTGTATATGTTTACATCAAATTCTTATGTTTATTTTAATTATTTGATTCATTTTGAGTTGATCTTAATTCTTAAAATTAGCTTAATCTTTGAATTCAGCTGATATGTTCAGTTTCTGCTTAATATCTTAGGATGAATTTGGATTGGTTCTGCAACCTGCATGGTAGCACCATAAGTGCTTATTATAGTTTATACATTCAATTATGTTATTGCTATATAAAATTGATTATCATGTTCAGAAATGGTGCATCAGACGTCGTTAAGGGTTATTTAATGCTTAATGGTTCTACCGTCATCTTGTTATAGTAAGGCTTTAACTTGTATTATTAGTTGGTTGATCATAGTTTAGTTTATTTGTTGTGTAAAATTATGATTGATTTATATGCAATTATGCATGTATTACTATAGAAAGGAATAATAATTTAGACTTTGGCGTTCACATGAACTTGTTTGATTTCGGACTTGGTTTGGCTCCTTGCCGTGAACCAAATTTTTTTAAACCGGCTAGGAGCTGGTTAAAATGACAATAAGAGGGATTCAAAGCGATCAATTAAAATAGTGATTTGATCTCCTTGTTAAGTTTTTAAACATTGAAAAGAATAACTAGTTGTAATCAATTAAAGAATTTCTATTGGTAATATATGGACTGAAACTGTGCCAAATTAGGAAAAGTAATTTGCCCAAAAAAATGGCACATATTTTTGCCTTTTCCCCCTAATTAGAGGTTTGTCTGGAACAGACTTGATACTTTGTATGTATTATGATTGGGTACGTATATGGTATTCATATCCTTAAGTTAGCCATGTAACACTTGAAGATGTAGTGATGTACCCTTTATCTGTATATTATTCTCCTACATATTTTTTTTAACATCTATTACATTGATATCGGATCTCATTAAAATGAATTTGATGAAACTAAGCCTGTACAGATATACTATCAACAATCTGGAGATGCCTTCATTGTCTTTCACAACACTTTACTTAACGACTAGTTACCTCTGTAGTCTGTAATAGATATGTAATCAATAGTAGAATTATGTTGAGAGGAGGAGATGTTGTCAATGATATTTTCATATCCTGGTCTCTCTGGATCTGGAAGATCTGAAATCTCCCCATTTAGCATTGAGATGACAGTAGGGGTATATCTGGTCTGTCTTTTGCCATTTCTTGCACACACAACAGTCCAATGTGTACACACCTCATAATATCCTTTGCATGACAAGGTTTATAAATCACTGGATCAATCTATGGCATGATGTTGCTCTCATTCCACAACTTCCATGCCTGTAATGAAAATTGAAAAATTTAAATACATTATGAACGAGGATTAAAGAAATCTGGATTATGATGATATAGGTGGATTTTTCTATAAGAATATTATGTTTTTCATATATAAAAACTTACATGTTCTAAAAGGGTCATGGAGTTCTCATCACCTGAAAAGGTACTGTTTCTTTTTCCGCTTAGGATTTCCAGCAATAATACTCCGAAGCTATGTACGTCACATTTTTCAGAGACTAGCCCTTCCATTGCATATTCAGGAGACATGTAACCACTATAGTTCCAAAATTTGCATTTCAATATCTAAAATAAACAGTATGTAATTGGAATCTGATTATTAGATGACCAAAATATGAACTTTGGGAAAGTTACTATGTCCCAACTACTCTTCGAGTATTGGCCTGATCTTGGTTACCCCCAAAAATTCTTGCCATTCCAAAGTCAGAAATTTTTGGATTGAGTTCTTCATCTAGCAAAATGTTACTTACCTTTAAATCTCGATAGATGATCCTTAATCTAGAATCTCTGTGAAGGTAATGGAGACCTCTGCATATATCTTCAATAATGTTGAATCTTGTATTCCAGTCTAAATCCTTTTGCTTTCCTATCACAGATGAGTGATCATGCACACAATAAGCTAGTGTAATATAGTGATCATGATGATTAATCTTTAGAATTGGACATATTATCCAATCTTGACAGTATTTTTCTATAATGATATGCGACTATAAAAGGGGTAAATATTGATTATAAACTTTTGACATTAGGCATGTGTATTTGTACAAAATAAACACCATAAGGTATTATATAGTTATATACTAACCAATTAAAGTGCATCCGAACTTTTGTTTGGCATATATTCATAAACCAACATCTTTTCTTTCCCTTCAGCCAAACAGCCTAGAAGTCTGACTAAATTGCGATGCTGCAATTTAGACATAACCTTCTCCTCATTCATAAACTGTTCCGTGCCTTGTGTTGAGGCCCCTGAAAGTCGTTTCACTGCTATTTCTTGTCCATCTTCAAGCTTTCCCTGGTCATATAATGTTAGAACTTTGATTTTTTTTGAACTGTATTTTTATACTCATATATAGCTTTTAAACAGTATCTTTAATGGTTTCCTAGAAAAATTGACCTTGTATACTGAACCAAAACCACCTCGTCCTAGCTTATTGCTTTCCTAGAAATCGTTTTTAGCTGCAGCGAGTGTTTCAAATTTGAAGAGGGGAATCTCTTCAAACTCCATGCTGCTTTTATTGCCAGTATTCATGCTATTGTCTTCCTTTATCTTGCTGTTTCCCTCTGTGGCTCATAATACACATTAGTTCTTTGTAATTTTGCCATCTTAGGGGTTTTACAAGTGCTTAACAAGGGAAACCTATATGATTGATTTAAACTTTTATCGGTTTTCTATAAAGGATAATAGGATTATAGTACTGCTTTTTCTCTTGTCTCATCTCGAAACAGAAGCATTGTAGGAGGCCTTCATAATGTCTAATATGATTTATATTAGAATGAAGGTGCAATACCTTTTAGATGAGCCCTTTGCCGTACTAGAAAGCAAAACAGGACAGCTATTATTGCCATTCCTGTAAAGCTTCCCATCACTGCTGGAACTACTTTCGTCTTGTTATTGGGACCTGCAATTCCGAAAGAGTGTCTAATACAATTATAATCTCCACTTCAGTGACTAATAAGGGTTTATGTAGAGCAACTGTACCTAGGTCTGAATGTGCTAGACGAAGGTAGAGATCCACTCTGCCCACTGAAAATTCTTGAACGTCAATCAAGCTTCTGCTTCATGTCATACAACCGACACCAGTGTCATATGCATATGCTAAGCAGGAACAATTGTTCAAGCACTGGCTTCTGCACATATCTTGATTCAACCCAAATGTCCACTCAGGCTTGTCTGGAACTTTCATCATCTTCTTCCTCAAAAAACTACCATCCTTGCCACTTTTTCTTTTACACTGCAACTGTGTTGTTCTGAAGCATCCATCACTCCAATCTCTTTTGCTCCACTTTGCTTTATCTCTTGGCTCAAATCCCTTCAGACATTGACAAATTACTGGTCTTTGTGTGTTGCAGGTGCCAAAAGCACCACACTTTCCGTAAATGTCACACTCTGTTGCAGGAGCGTGCCACTCAACCTCCCATTTCCTGTTTTGTTCATTCCACCATATTTGTGACATGTTCCCATCTGTGGTCAACATATAGGTTGAGAGTAAAGTCTTGTTTGAGAGTATATGGCAGTGATATTGCTCTCTTCGTCACTAGAAATCATGAGCTGAGCATTGATGAAATCGATGAAATTAAACTGTACTCCAATAAGGATGTTTCCATTCCACGGACCACTTCGCCAGTGTGTGCGATCCCCATCCCAGATTACTAGCTGTGGCAGGGTGAAAGAATCACTGCCCAATGTGAATCGTCCATCAGATGGATCTGAAGGGCTTTTCCAGGATTGTAATGCTTTCTGGTTGTCATTTTTTGTGATAGTGAGTTTCATGTTTGGTGGGAAAGAGTCTATTGGGTGATCAAAACTCAGCCATACAATCTCTCCTCTGCTTTGCAAAATAAAGTTACCAGAGTCTAGAATCTGGGCTGAGAAGTCAACACTTGTTGATGAAATCGAGACATTTGAGGACCAAAGGATTTCGTTTTTAGTATCTTGCACTTGGAGATTTCCATTCTTGGATATCTTCAAAACCCCAGAAGAATCATTGAAGGGTTTGTTCTTGTTAGCTACCCAGATTACATCTTTAACAGAAGCCTTGCTGTACCAGATGCCTACATAACGTTTGGTGGATGTAGGGGGGCTGAGGAATCCAAGAGTGAAGATGCTGTTTTTGGAGATTATAGTTTCAGGGTCCTTTAGAAACTTTGTGGCATTGATGGTGTCTGTTGCCGAGTAAGATTTTTGTATGACACTAAAAAAGAGAATCAGTGCACAGACTAGTAATTACATTTTCAGATGGTGATTTTACTTTGGATGAGTAATTATGGTGCATTTTTGCCAACTGTAGAAGCTCAATGTTTCAACAGCTATTCCAAGTTTATACAAGTAATAGATAGAAAGAGGTATTAAAGTTTAAAGGTGACTGTCATATGTGGTGCATTAGGCAGCATTATGTCTTAGATTTTTTTGGATGAGCTAATAATCATCGTCATAGAGTTATTGTGATGATTTTCATCAATGATCTTGATCTTAACCTATGCAATAGAAAAGAAGTAAAGATTCCTAGTACTGCTGGGGCCAGTGGTTATGAAATTTGGAAAGAAGTTACTGTTAGTTGCATTATTTTCCTTTTGAATATTTGGCTGTGTATGATTAGT